GCTCGTTTGGACTTCTAGAACTTCAGATATGGCCAAAATACTAAGCAGTGCTCGGGCTGGAGGATAGCTTCGGGCTTCTTTTTTGTTACAATAATTTGGACTTGAAAATGGCATTTTTAGATCTTGGGCTCCATATGAAAGTTGTAGGCCTATGTCTTACCTTTCCATCCATATAAAGTAGACCTAAATCTGAGATCTATAGCTCCAGATATGACCCAATTACCGAACAGTGTTCCAGTTTGGATTGCACTGACATCTCTTTTCTAATTTTGGTCATCTCTTTGCCCTTGCAATTTAAGTTCTTAAAGTCATCAATCAATCCTTTCATTTATGTGATAGGCCTGCATTTAAAATAGACATTTACCACAAATTAAATTTACCATAAATTAAAGGTATCTTGTATTATTAGATATATTATTATAAAACATGCTTTAGTTAAGGAGTTATTGATACTTCAAGTGCAAAATGATGATATAAAACCATGATAAAAATGCACTTTTAAGTACTAATCAAACAACTAAGGGAAAGGGATAGTATATAATTTGAAAAAAAAAAGCAAAAAAAATAATGATAATAAAAATATAGTTAAGTTTGGTTTTGTAGCCTCCCTAACATAAGCAATTAAGCTCGAATGGGTATTTTAACACCTAATACCATAAAGTTAACTGACTTGGGAGTTATTGGCCCAATGCTTGTTACATGGGTTAAGGAGAAAAACTTAAGGGAATCAAACATTGCATTATTTTTGTATTAGTATCTGCAACCCAAGTTACTAAGCTCGTAGGGGTATCTCAACACCTAATACCCTAAGACCATCTGGTCTAGAAGTCACTAGCTGAAAGCTCATTACATGGATTAAAGATACATCATGTTTTAAGTTATATGACATGAGTTAAAGATGCATCGTGTTTTAAGTTATATGTATATATATTAAAAAAATAATAAAAAAAGAAAAAAAAATAACATTAAACTCAATCCAAGGAAGTTAACCTTAAATATTAAAACAAAAATTTTGTTTTCTTCTAAGAAAAGCCCCATAACTATGTGTTGATATATTGAGCACAAAAGAAAGATTTATTAATATCTTGTTTAAGAGGTATTAAACAGATATATAAATTTAATGAGAGTTTGTTTATCTGGATAGATTAATAGAAATTAAATGATGAATATCTTGCTTTGTGAAATTCATAAATTATTTTTCTATTTTAATGCTTTAATTACTAGGGACTATTAATAAGCTGATTGGGGGGGGTGATTAGTACTTAAAAATATATTTTTATCAAGGTTTTATATCATCATTTTGCATTTGAAGTATCACTAACTCCTTAACTAAAGCATGTTTTATAATAACATATCTAATAATATAAGATACCTTTAATTTATGGTAAATGTTTATCTTAAATGTAGACCTATCACATAAATAAAAGGATTGACTGATGAGTTTAAGTACTGAAATTGAAAGGACAAAGAAAGGGCCAAACTTAGAAAAGAGATGCTGGTGCAGTCCAAACTGAAACACTGTTCGGTAATTGGGTGATATATAGAGCTGTAGATCTCGGATTTAGGTCCATTTTATATGGATGGAAAGGTAAGACAAAGGTCTATAAATTTCATATGGAGTCCAAGATTTAAAAAGGTCATTTTCAAATCTAAATTGTAGCAACAACGAATAAGTCAGAATCTATCCTACAACCCAAACACTATTGAGTGTTTAGCCCATATCTTGAGTTGTAGAAGTTCAAATGACCTCATTGTTTTTTCTTGGAAAACTAAAACAATTTCCTAGAACTTTCATGGTAGAAGTGGTTCGAATTCTGACGTTATTAATGATGTTTTATTCAAACAACAAGATAAAAATTGTCACCAAGACAAGATATGGCCACTCACTCATCAATTATTTATCAAATCAATAGTTTTAAATTTTGGCCTATAAAAGGAGGCATTTGCCATGCATTTAGGCATCTTGGTTTCCAGATCAAGATCATGCTCTTCCTTTCTCTCTTTGTATTTTTGTAATGCTTAAGTTTT